TGCAAGTCCCAGGGGTTGTCATTCCAGTCCTAGAACACTTCTGCTAATTCCAGGGACTGTCATTCCACTCTGGAGAACTGAGAAGATTGCTATTACTCTGAACTCTGTACATTGCTCAGAAATTGAGTACACAGCAACTGTTTTGTATTCTGCCCTGGCTCAGAGTCCAGCCATGCATTTAACAAATGAAGGCATCTGTGATGCCACAATTTGGTAAATTTCAGTACAAAGTCACCCTTATGAATAAGGCAGAAACAAGACTCCTGTAAACGAATGTCCAGGAAAACTTTTAAACTGTTCCCCTACAGGCTTTTCTGTGTTGCCTCTTTTGCTGTCAAATTTGTGACCATTAGTTTTTACGATGCACACGGTATGTATATTTGCAGATCTTAAAGTGACTATTCTAAATGTGAATTTCAAAAACAGGATACAGCAGGAGACTGCTGAGATACCACTATAACCCCTGGCCAACTCCTACCTTTTCCTGGGTTTAGCCTAACCCAGGGGCATTGCTTGGGGGGGGGGGGGTTCCATGCCCCCCTACATTTCTGGGGTGCCCCTCCCTAAATCCCAAATGCCCCCACCTGCATAGATAGTGACAGTGGCGTGTGACATCACTGGCACCTCCCTATGATGTCACTGGGCTCCAGTTCTTTTAAGGACCTAGCATAGCAATGCCTCTGGCCCAGCCCCCCCCCCCCCCGGAAAATGGAAAGTCTACACCCCTGGCTGGGGGGGGGGTTCTGAAAATGAGAGGGGGGGAGAAAGAGAGAAGGGGGAAGATTGACAGAGAAGGGATGAGAGAGAAGGAATCAAAGGCAGGAGGATGGTCATATGAAGCTGCCTTATACTGAATCAGACCATCAGTCCATTACAGTCAATATTGTTTGCTCAGACTGACAGTGGCTCTCCAAAGTGTCAGGCTGAGGTCTTTCACATCATCTACTTGATCCTTTTAACTGGGAAAGTCAGGGATTGAACCTGGGTGCCAGTTTGGTGTAGTGGATAAGTGCGCGGACTCTAATCTGGGAGAACCGGGTTTGATTCCCCACTCCTCCACTTGCACCTGCTGATGTGACCTTGGGTCAGTCACAAGCTCCGGCACAGCTGTCCTTGAAAAAGAGCAGTTTCTGTCAAGAGCTCTCTCAGCCCCGCCTACCTCACAAGGGTGTCTGTTGTGGGGAGGGGAAGGGAAAGGAGTTTGTAAGCCGCTCTGAGACTCCTTTGGGTAGTGAAGGGCGGGGTATAAATCCAATCTCTCCTCTTCTTCTTCTTCTGCATGCCAGTCAAATGTTCTACCACTGGGCCACAGCCCCTCCCTGCAAATTCCTTATGGGACCCCACTTTTTATTGTATCAAAGTCTTAACATGGCCAAATTGTAAATCCAGAGACTGGTGCCATAAACAAACAAGACAGATCGTTCTAGAAACCTGAAAAAGCCCCAGGTTTGCAGAAAAACGTGAAATATTTAAAAAGTACATAAGGGGGTTTAAAAAAACCCAAATAACAGTAGCAGCACCTGTATCATTAAGAAACAAATGCCCTCTTCAGTGGCCATTGTTGGGATCACTAGGCAACCACAATAGTATTTCCAAACTTCAAACTCGGATTCTTTTAGTAAATGTCAGGAGAATGGGGCAGGGCTTGTCCGGGACTATTTTGGCCTTTGAGGGAAGACTAATCTTCCAGGCCTGGCAGCAAGTACCAGGCAGCTTGACACCACGTAACTTGTGTGACTTCCCAGGACTCACTGCTGGAAGCCAGTGTGGTGTAGTGATTAGAGTTTCAGACTAGGATCTGGGAGATCCAGGTTCGAATCCCTACTCTGCCGGGGAAGCTCACTGGTGACCTTAGGCCTGTTACTTCTCAACCTAACTTACCTCATGAGAATAAAATGGAGGAGAGGAGAATGATATAACTTGTTTTGGTTCCCATTGTACAAAAAGGTGATGTATAAATGAAGTAAATAAATAATATAGTTGAAGATGGGTGGCAGATAGAAGGAAGGTTGGTGGGTGATTGGGAAGGACAGAATGAAGCAGGGAAAGGTTGCCATGAGGAGGGAAAGAAGATATAGTATGTAAAGGGGGATACAGGGGAAAGTGAGGTGCCCCTGCAAATCCTTGAAGGTTCCCCACCATTCAACTGGGCCCAGCAGCCAGCACTGCACAACCGGGCCTGGCCTGGCAACAGGTATTGCAGAACTCGGGAAGAGGATACAGGAGCTTTCAGGAAATCAGAACAGAAAATAGTGTTGGAGAGGAAATGCGATGCTGCCTGCAAGTCAAGTCATTGCTCGTTGTGTGTGTCTTGGTTGAAATGCTCATCCAGCTAGTTGGACTTTTGGCAACTATGTACACCATCCAAAGTGTAGTGAAGTAGATAAACCTAAGACCTGAAATCAAATCCCTCTCAGCCATGACACTCCCTTGGGTAACCTTGAGCCAGGTACAAGCTCTGATTCTTTACCTCCTGGGTGATTATGAAAATAAAATGGAGGAGCGGGGGGAACCATATACTCCTTGGAGGACGAGAAAGATAAAAATGTTGGTGATAGTAGTAGTAGTTTTCACCCACAAAGCACATTTTTATACAAGCTTAAGAATTTGCCAGACCTCCTCCTTGTACCCGGCTTCTTTCAACATGGAAAGTGTTTCTTCATCAGTATGACAAGGCATCAGTAGAACTTGGAAGGCAAAAGTAGCTCTGTGGTAGAGCATTGGCTTTCCATGCAGAAGGTCCCAGGTTCAGTCCCCTTCATCATCAGTTGAAAGGCAGCTGGGCTGGGAGAGCTCTGCCTAAGACCCTGGAGACCTACTGCTAGTCATAAACAGTATTAGACTACATGGATTAAAGTTCTGACATATGTTCATATGTTTTAAGTTCTCAAAGGAAACTTTAGTCAGATTGTTAGCATGCGGAACAAAATGAGGATTTTGGAGAGAAATCCGGAGGTAGGGTGTGATTGCCAAGTCAGAGAGCCCTTCCCTTCACCACCACCCCTTTTTTGGCCTCTGTGGTGAGTAATGGCTGTTTCATGGCAGTGTCTCAGCTCAGAGACAAGAATGTGATTCAGCTCAAGGATCTGTCAAGTTCTGCTCCTGAAAAATCAGTTGGGTGAATGCACCCATCATATATTCTAAGCTTGAAAACAGCCAGAAGTTTTGTAATCTTCCCCCGCCCATCCCCTGGAGACTTGAAAGTTTTTAAACTTCTGTTTGAAAACTACATTACTAAGCAGCTGGGGTGGGGGAAGCTTGGGAACAAAGGGTTCTGCCAGATGCCTAACTTCCTCATGAAAGGAACTGGATGTGGTTTCTGGCATCCTGAGACTCTGCTGTCCTCTAGTGAAAGAATGCAAGTTTGCACAAGATGAACAGTGAAATCAGTGCCAACAACTTGGTGGGTGGGGAAGTTGAAACTTGAATGTCTCAAATGTATCCTTTTGTAAGATAACCGCTAGAGCTAGATGATGATGTTATGTTATTTAGGACTTAAATTTGCTGCAGGATATAATTTGGAACTGCATTGTGACCCAAAACACATAGTACTGAAGCATTTGGCTTGAGCTCCTGTTTGTAGCTCTTCTGTGCTGTTCAGCTGAAGAAATCTTTTGACAATTTATGCTAGCACTTTTTGTGACTTCCTGGGCTATGATTCCATTGTATGAAAATTTTGTAAGTCCCTGGAATAAAGCTTGTTATTATGGGTCACAAAACAAGTGATATCTTCTAACAATATGGTACCAGTTTGAAAGTTGATATCCGTGGATTTTCTACCAGGCTTTCGATGATTAATAGCTTGATCACAGGCTGAAGAGTTGCACTGTAATTCTCTAGTATGCCACAACAGTTCTGTCAAAAGACATAGGACTGCTTATGAACCTGAGGGTTTGCTAGTATTTGAGGTTGTACAACAGTGCTACACGTGGATGGCTAAAGGATGTTGCAAAGACATAATTTCCAGTCACTTAAGTTGTGTTGACCAGGCCAGTGTTCTTAATTACATTTCATTCAGCTTTGCCTTCTGCTATCCCACTGTTCATTTTCAAGCATTTCCTAAGTATGTGCACTTTATCCTCTTGAAACAGTAGGCTCTTTTTTCCCCTCTAGTAGTAAGTGCTGAATTTGTACAGTTGCACCCATATATAACCTAATTAATTTGATGCAGCCAGGCTCTAGGACCATGAAGTAAGCAGGTTTAGGCCTGGCTTCTAGAAATCAGAAGACAAAATTAAAACAGTATTGGAAAGAATTACAGGGTCCCAGTTAATGCTCCCTCTAAGCTGTGGATTCTTGTGAGCAAAAATTCTCCTTTGTGAGCTACTGGCATTAAAGCTGTGAGCCAGCCATTTGGCTACTGCATAAATTAGTTTGCTCTGAAGCCATCCTTCCTGAGCTAAGACAAAAATGTGTGAGCCGGAGGCTAAAAAACTGTGAGCTGGCTCACACTAACTCAGCTTAGAGGGAACACTGGTCCCAGTTTAAATCTGCAAAAACAAAAACAAAAGTGTCAAAAATGGAAGAGGTAAAACAGAGTACTGGCCAGGAAGAAGGGCACCAAAAGACAGCTTTTCAGACCAATAGCAAAAAAACGTTCACCTCTGCTTGCAATATCTTAGTACCTGGTTACCTCAGTTCAGGCAATGTTTGTTAAGTGCCATGGGGTGATTTAGCATTTGGGTAGAGCCAACAGATCTTATGACATTTGAGGAAATCAGCCTGATCTAGTAGTAGCCAGGACAGTGCAAGCTGAGATGGAGAAGTTACTTGAGAAAACTACCTTCTTGGGTGGGAGACCGTGCTTTTTTTCTAAACAGCCTGATTAGCTGGAGCAATGGAAGTCTTCCTTTACTGTACCCAAGTGAATAAAAATACAATTTTACCATTGATTTTTTTTTCCTATGCAGGTTTATTGCACCATCCAGCAGGCTTATATATTGGGGTCATCCAGTTACATTTCCTAAATGATTCTTTTTCATACTTTCTTTCTTATTTAGTTCCTGCTCATTTTTCACAAAGCTGCAGCTGGAGAGCTTGAAGAGGACAGTGGTTTGATGGCTTTGGCTAAACTCTCAGAGATTGATGTTGCCCTCGAGGGGGTAAAAGGAGCCAAGAACTTCTTTGAAGCAAAGGTAAAAAAAAGATCAGTACTTTGGGGATGGGAGGAAAATAAAGCTTACTGGAATTTCATAAGTAATTGCAGTGTTACCAGCTAGAGCACCAGTTGGCCTTCATACTATGAAGCATGTCTTATGGATGGATTCATAGGTTTTTATGAAAAAGCAGATTTATCCTGCTTTTCACTGCCCAGCTATATTTCCTGACAGGGAGATATCATTTATGCTCTCCAGATTATGGGGGGAGTGAAATTAACATAGATACCTCCCTTTGGTCATCTTGTCACTGCCTCAGTGATCTCAGTGGGGAGAAACCTCAGGTGTATTTCCAGTCTAACCCCACTTTCCTCCTGTATTGTGCACACAGCATGGTAGTTTGTACACCCCTCTCATCTTTAATTTGGAACTGATTGATCAAAGAGGGAATTTTGAATTTATGCCACAAGTTCTTTTTGGTCCCAGAAAGGAACTCCCCAACTAGAAAGAGTAATATAAATAGGGTGCAAATCTTTGACGTCCTTATCCTGTTTCTACCACACTCGGATGCTGGGTTGGGGAAAGAGCAGCTGTGATCCATATCTCAAGGTGAAGAGATGTTTACATATTGCTAGCATATTCAGGTGGCAACTGTATTTTATTTTATTTTGTGGGGTTCAGGGGCTTCCATGCCCCATAACTCCATTATTCACAGTGCCCTTTTTTGTCCCGCTTGGGCTTGTACAGCCTCAGAATTGAAGAGGGGAGGGGGTTTGCAACACCTGGTTCCTCCTCCTTTCCACTGAGTCTCTCAGGCAGCCCAGAAAGAGAACCAGCCACCTCCTTACTTGGCCTGCTTTTAAGCCCTTTATGAAGCTGTTGCAACAAGCTGCACATGCTTAGCCAATTCCCCTGCACTCTCTTGTGGGAATTAGCCGTCTCATGCAACCTCTGGGGAGGGAATCTTGGGCTGTGCCACCACCCAATATAGGGTGGTGGTGGCTGTGCCTGCAGCCTGTTTTCCCCCCTCATTGCCCTGCCTAAACTGCCAGCAGCTGTTGCCAGTGATTGACGTGATTGTGTTACTGCTGTTGCAATATTCCTCCTCCTTGCTGCTGCTGTTCTGGCTGGCTTGGCAACTGATGGGTGTGGTTAAGTTTGGGCCTTAAAGGGCCCACACTGGGTTGCTGCTGTTGCAACAGTTCTCTCTGTTGCCACTGCTCTGGTAGGCTTCTTTATTGTCAGCACTGTGGGTTTCCAAGAGGACATCCTGTGACTCCTGGGTAAGTTCAGGGGCGGCTCTGGCAATGGGAGTAGGCCTGCTCCTAGACATGTTTGTGTATTCTCTGTTGTTCCATCTTGACTATAGATCGCTCCCAAATATCTGGTTTTAGTATATATGCTTAGTAAATAAAATTTATAAAATCTGATATTTGGTCTGAGAGGGAATTCCTGGAGAAAGCTTACTCATGTACTAGCTGCTCAATGATGCTGCCTTAAGTCTTGAAGCAAAGGGAGGGGGACAGGGGAGAGTGAGCCTCTCTTCACTTAGGCATGCACACATGCACGGCATATATTCTAAATAAGGAATATGTAGACTGACTTGGAGCACTTTGTCCAGTATTGATACAAAATACTGTAATTCTCCAAGTGGTAGAAGCATGGCCATAGCCAGCAGTGGTGCTTTAGGGGCTGAACCCCCTATCGGATCTTCAGAGCCACCCACCCCAATCTTAAACCGCAATCTTAGTTACACACTGCGCTGGAAGGAGAGTTAGAGAATTGCCAGCCTGAAGTGATTCTCTAACCCTCATTCTGGTGTGGCACATGGCTAAGATTGCAGTTTAAGATTGGGGGCGGCGCAGCACAGCTCTTCCAGCTTGGCGGCCAGGCCAATATTGCTTAAGCCACACTGCCACCGGCCCAAAGCGATTTCTTTAACCTTCCTTCCTTCCCGTGGCTCTTTCTTTGGAAGAAGGAAGGAAGGAGGGTTAGCGAAATCACTTCGGGCCAGCATGGTGGTGGCATGGCTTCAACAATACTGGCCTAGCCCACTAAGCAGGAAGAGCCAGGGTAAGCAGCTATTTCTCCTTTCCCTCCCCTCTGCACCTGGAGGGGAGGGAGATCTCAAGCTGGGGAAAGATTGGGGTGGTGTGCGCAGCTCATTTAATTTAATTTAATTTAAATATTTGTGCCCTCCAGTGCCCCCTCCCCCCAAAATCCTGGCTACGGGGCTGGGTAAAAGCAAGAAGATACGTTTAGGATCAAATTCTTAACACTGGTGCATAGCACTGGGCCTTGGGGGTGTCATATAATGTCCAGTGTTAGGGGATTCATCACAGTATGCTCCTACTGACTTTACCACCTTTGTAGTAAGTCACCACACTATATGCAGAGTAGAAGATGTAATTCTGAGTAAGGAGAAGTAAAACTGAAGATTGGATCAGTCAGATTTACCGAATGCATATTTAAATTCCTGTGGCTTATTACAAAATAATAGTTGGCATGTGTGATGAACTATATTTAAAATGCTGTTTTCCTAATGCAGCAAAATCAAAGAAGGGAGGTGAATAGTTAACGCTGCTCTAGAATATTGAGCTTGAGTGACAGTTTGCTCCATTTTTCTGATTGGCCAGCACTAGCTGAGGAAAATATAAAATCAGCTATGTGCTGAGGAGAGAAGTGAGTTCATTTTGTGTATAGGGGCAGTTACTGTTTAGTAAAGTAAAAGTTCAGCTAAAGAAGTGGATATCTGAAGAGTGACTAAAAAAGTCTATCAGACAGGTTCACCTTTTGAATAAACGGAGAGACTCATGGTCTTAGCTGTGTTAAACATAACCTGAGAAAGAATTCCATCTTTCAGCTAAAGCTGAAGTACGTTTTCACACAGAAACCAAGAACTGGGGTTTGAGATTTTGGTAAAAAGTGACTGGGTAGCAGGCTGAAACTCCCAATTAGGCCAGAAGGGAAAGAATTATATTTAAGTCCTGTCCAGTTATACAGGGAATTGTTATTGAGGCAGTCCCTGATCTGTTGAGAAAGGAAACAGTTATAGACTGCTCAGGGGAAAGAATAAACACTGTAATTTCAGAAAAGCGGAAAGAATTTGATACACTAAAAGAGTGACCTTTCCAGAAAACCTGAACAGTTATTAGGAAACTATATGCAGAAACATTGTAACTGAAACCAAAGTACTTAGTCAACCATCTCTCACTGATAAGAACCAAGAATTTGTAAAAATAAGCTGCTACAACACCATCTTGTCTGTCAACTTAAAAAAAAATACAGTTTTACCAACAATGTTTACCTCAGCCTTTCCAATACCTTACTACCCCATACTGTCCCTGCCTATTAAATAAAATCTTTATTATTGTTCACTGTTCCACAGTCTCCAGTGCCATTTCAAATGATCTAAAAAGAGGGCTCCTGTCTTCTCCTGACAAGTTCCTGGGCTGGGCAAAAGCCAAATTAGATTCTGTCAAAGGGTGGGATTTTCCGATTTATAAAGCTGTAAATATTAGCATGCTACAAGGGGGGCTAGCTTAGTAACTGAAGGGAACTAAGAATTTTGGTGGGAAAAATCTGCCTCACAGTGAAGAAGAAGCAGGGGTCCGTCATAGCATGTATGTGGAAGGTCATGTGTAGTCAATCTACTTTCTTGCTGGCTAGCTTAAGGTACTGTGACATCTCCCACCCCTCGAATGAACTATCCACTCCAGCTATACTGGCTCCCAGTAGAATACGGAGTCATGTTCAAGGTTTTGGTATGGATCTACAAGACTTTGAGCAGTCAGGGACCGATGTATCTATGTGACTGTCTCCTCTATTATGTCCCCAGGAGAGCTTTGCACTCCTTAGACAGCAATCTTCTGGTGATACCCGACCCTAAAGACATCCGGCTGTCCTCAACCAGGGCCAGGACCTGGTGGAACTCTCTATCAAATTCAATCAGGGCCCTGCAGGATCTGATGCAATTCCGCAGGGCCTGCAAGGGAGAGATATTCCGCCAGGCTTTTGGTTGAGGACAGTGACGGTTCCATCTTGGCTGTCACCCTTCCCATTCCCTGTTGCTTACATCTATTTTGCCCTCCTCCCCACCGTCCATGAAGTAGCCGGCAGTGGGTGTTGGAAGGAGGATCGGTTATTTGCCATCTGTTTGTTTTTAATATTGTACTAAGGTTTTAATTAATTTTATCTTATTTTATATCTGGTTGTACATCGCCCAGAGCCCTGCAGTAGCAGGGGTGAGGCGACTAATAAATATAATAAATAAATAAATACACAGGTCATGGTTCTTTGTAGCTGAGACTGTTAGCTCAGACTAATAGAAGTTGCTGGCTAGTAAGTAAGACTATATTCCTACTGTCTGGTCAATAAATGATTTCTGTATTTTAAAATAAAGCAAAGTGACCAGATGCTGTAAGAACATGTAACCATATTTGTGAATATTTGGAACCAAGATAGCACTTAATTCACACCAAGATAGGTTTGAACAGATCCAGTGATGCTGCAAACCACTTTCTGCTCCCTAAAGCAGTATTTCAACTATTTTAAAGTTTATTGTACTTTATTTTTATACTGGTGTATGAAAATTAGATGGATAGATGGATAGATAATGTGGAGAATATGCCTGAAGCATTGATGGAAGGGCAAAATAATTGATGGACTCATTAGTCAATTCACTTATGAGCGCATGTGTCATTTGCATTCCAGCCTGGTTAGCCCCAGAGTGAAAAAATGCACTATGAATCCTGTCTTTTTACATCTGTATGTACACATGGAATTGGATTCAGGCTTCATTGGCAATTTCCATAGCTTCCCGCTCTCTGCTGCAGATCTCACTGATACCATTCTCAGGGTCCCTGTCCCCAGGGAGAAACATTTTGTGGGGGTCAGTGGGCAGCAGTGGGAGGGGCCAGACAGGAAAGTTCCATTCCATTAACAGAAAATTTAGCCTGGATCCAGTCCAAGATATCTTTTAGAGGCAATGGGTTATTATGAATTTCCTAAAGAAATTGTGCAATCAGGCCCGTGTTATAATTTACCAGATCGTAGCTGTCCTGGAGAAGTGACAGACCTTTCTTTACATTTCTACCACTGCATTATAGGTTCAAGCATTGTCTTCAGCCAGTAAGTTTGAAGCAGAGATCAAAGCAGAACAGGATGAACGAAAACGTGAGGAAGAGGAGAGGAAGCACCGCAGAGCAGCTTTCCGAGAGCTCAAATCAGCATTCAGTCAATAACTGAGGCAACTCATCTGCCACCTAAGACTGGTGTACATTCTTACAAGCTGTGCTGTAGATTGGACACGCACCTCAAGAGGAACCGTAATAGATTTGAAGCTCTTTTTTAAAAAAATGAGCAGACAGCTGAACTGGTTGCAGATATGCCACATACATTAACATTTGCATCATGCCAAAAATGGTTCAGGTGACCCTTCACTGTAATGGACATGGCATAGAAGAATTAAAATATTCTAATGCTGAAGTCTGAGGCAGAAGATTGGAGTGCCTAATAAGTAATGTTTGAACTGATCCAAGTACATCTTGGTCAGAAAACAGGTAGAAAGTCACAGCTTACTCTTTCTTTTTATTCTGAATGTCCCTGCCTCATAGTTATATAACTTTATGTTTCCTTTCTGTATATCTTGTAGCTCCTCCTTAATTTCCCCAAATCATTTATTGCTTTCAGGGGAGCAGGCGCTTCTTTTAGATATAAACTGTATTTCTTTTGTGTGCAGACAATTGTTCCAGACCCTCGCACATGCTAATTTCTCTTATGTGCTCCCTGTCCTAGCAAGCAGGCTTCTGGGGCAGTCCCATTAGTGGGGGTAGAGGGGAAGTGCCTTTTTATGTAATTCAACTTTGAAACAATGCCATTCAAGGGTATGAGCAGCTGCCACCACCCTTTCACATGTGCGCATAAATGGCTCTGCTCTAAGCAAAAAAAAGATCTTATTAATAGATTTTTCTGATTCTGCCTCTCTGGTCACATTCCATTGCATCTTTGGTGTTGGGTCCATAGCCTCTTTTTTCAGTTTGGAGGGAGTAACAAATCTGACAGTTAAGTGGTTAAGAGAGTTTGATGGCATATCAGTTGACCACCTCTGGAAATCTTCTACCCTCTTGTGGTCATGTGTGGGAATGCAACTACTTCTTTAGAGTTTTTACTTAATTGAAATTAGCAGTTCTGTTTGGCAGTGTTTCTGCTTTGAAAGGGAAATAGAGTTTAGGTTCCAAAACAAGAAAGTGACATGTCAGTACTGTCCAACCAACTTGTACTATATTCAGAACAGACACATGTATATATGTCTGCATATATACAGGGGTGTGTGTGTCAAGTTCTTTGTCAAGTTTATTCTCATTCCATGTAACAGATACTACATTCTTGTTCTTATTTTCACTTGAGGTTTTAGCTTTTTACACTGTGACACTAAGCTGTGAGTGTGGAATAGCAAAGGGAGTCCATCTTATATTAAACAATAAGCGGGAGATCTGCTGAACAATTAAAACTTTACTTGCAAGTCCACAGATTATATTTGATAAAAATCACACTTTTTAGATAAAAATATTTATAATAAATGTTTTATACATTACAAAGTTTGAATTATTTTTTCTCTTCTGTTGCTTAGTTGTACAAATAAAACATTTCTAACTTGCCAAATGCTAGCTTGAAATCCTTTGTGCCATCTCTTCAGAATTTGTTGGTCTAGATCTCTGCTCTGAAAAATGTGTCTGCATTTCATATTGAAGTCAAGAGATATAAGTCTTAGTACTCTAATATTTTGATGACAGCACAGAGTGGTTGCACAGAATTACTATTCTGACCCTAATGCTCAGGGGAGCCACAAAGACTACTTCCTGAGAATGTTGAATAATTGTATTAATTTTTGCCAAGGCTTCCCAGAGTGTGGGTTGGACAATATTCTGAGGGGCCTGCCTAGTTACCCTAGAGACCCAAGGAGCTGGAATGGTGCCACTGAGACTGCTGTAAAATAATTGGTCCCTTTACAAAGATGGAAGTGTGATTTTGAGCCAATCAGTGTGTCTCAGCCTAGTCTATCTCTCTGGACTATTGTGGGGATAAAATGCATGGAGAGATTAGGTACGCTATCCTGAGCTCCTTCAAGGAAGAGTGGAATGTAAAGAATAATGTATGGTATACATAGAACCAATTACTAGCCTATTCATGCTAACAGCAAATCAGGTCACCTATTTTCATGTGATGTTTGGATTGGTTCCGGTGTGGATGGAGCTCATAAGGAATCTTTGAAGGACCTGTGGTACCCCTGAATTGCACCACCGCCACCCCAAGTTTCCTCTGACCTGTCCAAGGGCACCTTAGAGCAACAAACTTTATTCTGGCACAGGCTTTCATGAGTCAGAACTCATTCCATTAAATGCACAGGAGTGTAAACTCATCTGGCCAATACATAACAAAGATGTGTGGTGGGGAGGAGCAGCTGGTTGAAAACAAGATCCAATACAAAGGGTAATCAATTCACTTGCAATAGATTGCGAAACACTCCCAGTTATTGTTAGAAAGTCAAAAAGTAAAACCTACTGCAGGATGAACTGAGGTATGCACATACAATGGGAGGCTACAGAGGTATAGGTGAATAATTAACATCTGTGAGGGGGTGGAATATACAAGATAGCAGCACCTACAGTGAGTAAGATGACCTGGCCTGGTAGAATTCCTGGTGACCTGGATCAGTGTGCCACTTTTGGAGCCATTGTGGAGTTTGAGAGGTATTGTGTAAAGAGATTCTGCATGTATGTGTGGTGTTTGTGATACTTGTTTTAAGCTACAGACAAAGATCCAGTGGAAAATCACTGCTAATGGAAGGGATTCCTGTCAGTGGAGTGGACCTTCCTTGCCTGCAGAAGTCCAAAATGCCCTTTGAAATTCTACTGCTGGGGAATAGGGCACCCCTAGAAACTGGGGGGGGGGGAGCTAGGGGTCTTTAACAGGAGGAGGGAATGTGCAAAAATTACCCCACTTCCATCAGTGGAAGCTTCAACTGGATCCAAGCCAAAATTCTCAAAACTGTCTTGCCAGTTGCCACTGCCTTCAAGAATGTCTAAGTAGGAAGAAAGAAACCACAAGTGTACCCAAGACAGTTTTTATAGACAAAGCAACACTTCTTTTATTGAATTTGTACTTTGGATCAGCAGGTTTTACTTCTGACAGTATTAACATGAGTACAGGTTCTGTTGCTTGCGTTCCTGTTTGTTTCACTGCCACCTACTGAAGTATCTCTAAGCAGCGTACTGATACAAACATGTTACTGCCCCAGCAGAACACATCTCCAAATGTTAAGCAAGGAATAATGAAATGAGAAACTCAAGAATGAAAGGGGCTAGTTGAGGCAAAACAGCTTCCTCTTGAATCACCTGCACTGTAAAAAGTTCCTTTTTTTGCTAGCAGTTGTAGAAATCGTTTGCAATATACTACTCTAAAGGTAAAGGTTCCCTTGCTCGAAAGCCAGTTGAATCCGACTCTAGGGTTGCGGTGCTCATCTCCGTTTCAAAGCCGAAAAGCCAGTGCTGTCTGAAGACGTTTCCGTGGTCATGTGGCCGGCATGACTAAACACCAAGGCGTACGGAACGCTGTTACCTTCCCACCGAAGTGGTACCTATTTATCTACTTGCAATTTCTTGCTTTCGAACTGCTAGGTTGGCAGGAGCTGGAACTAGAGATGGGAGCTCATGCCATCATGCAGCACCCGGGTCTCGAACTGCTGAACTACTGACCTTCCACAGCCTGCAGTTCTCTTCCTAGAGCATCTACACTTCCTCAAATGTAACTGCTATTCCAAAAAGGCTTAAATAATGGCAGAGTGATCTGGCATCAGTAGTTTCATTTCTTGGAATTATATCCCACTTCTGAAGCAGCATTAGAATGGAGGATAATAATAAAAAGTTCTTTTTATGTTACTTCCCAGAGCAGGTCGAAGTATGTGTTTCTCTCCCCCCCCCCCCCCCCCCCCCCCCCCCCCGCCCACTGCGCATCACTCCATCCATTGTTTTTAGGAGAGGAAGAGCTGGACAACATTAAGAATAAATTGGGATTTCTTTAAAATGGCAGTATAGTGCAAATAAGAGGACTACTTCAATGATATAATTCTTCTTACTTAATCATAGCAAATGAAATCTTTCTGTATTGAATGGTGTGAAGAGAATATTTCAGGTCTGAAAGAATCTTTCAGAACAGAACAGGGAGGGACTTTCTTAGAGGCATTTGTATCATCATCATTTTCATTATCCATGTGCCTTTTTGCAAGACATGAATTGTCTTTTGTAATTGTAATTTTTTTCCAGGCTGCTTGCTCTTGCTGTACCAGTCTTGTGGAAATCTAATAGAAGCAATTCAGTTGATAAAGATAAGCAAAGGCTAAATGCCAGTGGGGTAGCTGTTTGCAGCAAAAACTGAAATGAGTCTTTTGTGGTATATTAAAGACTAAAAGATTTATTGAAGCATAGATTTTCATCAAATAAAAGTCAAGTTCATCAGATGCATAATGCTAAATGAGAATTTATGGGCAAAGTCTTGACAGGGATGCATCCGTCTTTGTATTTCAAATGATGGTGTAAGATGCATAGGTGGTTGCTGGGCTGTAGAAAAATGCTTAGGACAAAGTCCTGTCATTTTCAATATAAGTTCCTTTGTTTATGTAAATGTTTTAGCTTTAAAATGTTTAGAATTATTTCTGACTTTTCCTCGCATTGTAATTCTTATAATCTTGTTCAGGACATGACAGAGCATTATGTGTGAGGGACATTCTTGGGCCAGGCACATTGGCCTAAGTCTCCTAGATTCCATTTTGAAGCCAAACTCCTTGGACTGCATAAGCAAATAAGCAGCTGACTTGAGACTATTCCTATTACACATTCTTCTCAAATGGCATTAATGCTAAAAGCATTCTTTGCCCTGAGCATGGCACTTTCTGGAAGGAAACCATCAAAGCTTTCTGTTCGCATGGAGTCAAGTAGGTAGGGACCACTTGTGGTCTTCTATCCCTTTGAGATACAAAGTTTTCTCACGAAGCTGTACAGCACCCATTGTTTCCCAAATAGGATAGCATAGAGTGATCCTTAGTAAGAATGGCAGTTGTAAGCAACCTTATCATGATTCCTTTGTGCAAAATGGTAAGTTGTGCTTTAGCTCTTGGGAATTCGGAGTTTCTATCTCTACCCCATGGGCTGAATATTCCGCCCCCCCATCAAAATATAAATTTGTCCAATCTGACCCTGATCTGAAATCACTACTTCATAGAATCATAGAATCACAGCATTAGAAGGGCCATACAGGCCATCTAGTCCAACCTCCTGCCCAATGTAGGATCGGCCTAGAGCATCCGTGAGAAGTGTTTGTCCAGCCACTGCTTAAAGACTGCCAGTGAGGGGGAGCTCACCACCTCCCTAGGTAGCTGATTCCACTGTTGAACGACTCTTACTGTAAAAACATTTTTCCTACTATCCAGCTGGTACCTTCCTGCCCTTAATTTAAACCCATTATTGAGAGTTCGATCCTCTGCTGCCAACAGGAACAGCTCCCTGCCCTCCTCTAAGTGGCAGCCCTTCAAATACTTCCATCATGTACCCCCTCAACCTCTTTTGTATTAAAGATACAAAAAAATTAAAAAGGAAGGTGGGAAATAGGAAAAAAGGATTATACAAAATATTTACATTTATATAGGACATCCATATTAAACATCTATATATCTAATAGCGAAGTGGCCCCCATGCATGCGGATACCTAAATCCACACACTGGGGGCGCTTGGGGGGGGGAGTTTTGTGCACACGTGGGGCGAGCCCCAGGTGTGCACAAAAATCTAAAAAAACCCCAAAATATTGGGGGGATATTTAAATCCCCCCCAAACTGACAGAGCGTTTCCTGCGCATGCGCAGGAAATGCTCTGCAGCCGGGCTCGCCGCCGTAGAGGGGGGGTTAAGAGAGCAGCTTGAGTGCGGGGGGGGAGGGGAGCGAGCGACCGGTGAGGCCCAGCGGCTGCAAGCCGCGGGCCTCGCTTTGAAGCGGGGGGGAGAGACTGGCAAGGCCGGAGGCGAGGGGGGGTGAAAGACAGCCCCTCGGAGCCGGGAGCTGGGAAGACAGACTGCCGAGGCCCGGCGGCTGTAAGCCACGCAGGCCTCGCTTCGGAGGGGGGGAAAGAGAGAGAGAGAGACACTGGGGAGGGGGGAAGAGCGAGAACGGGGGAAGAGAGAGAGACTGGGCCCCCCCGGCAAGCTGGGAGTGGTAGTTGAGGGGGGGTGGAGGAGACGGAGGAACTGACGGGAGGGGGGAGAAGCTTACGTGCTTCCTCCTCCTCCGCTTGCTCTATGTGGAGCTCTCCCGCTCCTCCCCCCCCCGTGATTTTCGCGGGTCCCCTTTCTTGTATTGTATAAAAAAACAAATTGAATTTTTCCCTAAGTCATTCATTGCCATTTTAACAAGACATTTACAATTACAATTACCTTGAGAGGACAGAGAAATAATAAAGAAAAATAATAAACAACACATATTTTAGATCTATTCCCATTTATATTATATACCTCATAGATAGTAG